CACACCAGCACGTGCCTTCCCGCAGCCACACCAGCATGGTACTTTCCCACAGCCACACCAGCACGTGCCTTCCCGCAGCCACACCAGCACGGTGCTTGCAGCCACACCAGCACAGAGGAAATGCCAGGGCAGTCAGTGGGAGGGCAACTGAGCTCCCAGGCAAGAAGGAAAGGGACACACAGCAGTCTCCTGGACAGCCTTAGACAGTCTGTCAGTTTTTGCTGCTAGAAGCTGGGCTTACTGCTCAGCATTCATCAGAGTGAGGAATGGCAATCCCCGGTGACACAAGCCTGCTCACATATGGTATTCTCTAAGGAAACTTAACCACCAGGTTGCTGGAGCCATGCTTGAAGCCAGCTCTCTTCAGCCCAGCTGGCCCAGTTCTTGCCAAGGCATGAGTGGTTTCCTGGATCCCTGGGCTATCTAGGCATTAGGTGTTCCTTCCCCAGGTGAGCAGGCGCCCTGGGCCACTGCTAACTACAGAGGTGATAGACATCATGCTGTCCTCCCCCTTTTAATAAGTGCAATTATAAAACCACGGTGACTCCATGTCTACATCTGGGGTCAGGGTGAGCTCTGACCCAGTGTGGAAGGTGGATATGGCTTCTGCTGTCAGCAGCTGAAGCTTCAAAAGATTAATCAACTTCTCTAATCAAGGAGAAGCCTGGGCTCTTCTCTAACTCCAATTTAACAGGCAGGATGGTTGCTTGTCCCACAAACTCCAAATATGCAGACCTAAAGATGTTCTGGGAGTGAGGGTAAGGCGGACCACAGAAATAGAAATAGGGATACTGACATTGATTGATTCTTCCCCGTACATTTTCTCCTGGGTCCAGGACCCCCACTTTCCTGCATTAGTTGAACCGTAGATTGATGAGGGTGTTTCTGGAGATCTAATTTCTGACTGCTGAACTGCTTAGTCTGCTACAGCTCATTGTAGATCTTAGGCAAAGCTTCCCCTTTGCAATGGAAAGTGAGGTCAGGAAACAGCCCCAATACTATTCCAAACAGTACCCTTGCAGGTACAAAAGAGGTAAGAAATAAATTCTCCTTTGGTTTTGTGGTGTTCTCAGGAAAACACACTTCTGGTTTAGGCATCTCAAATAATCTATTCCAGCTCTGGCACAGGTCCAAGCACCCAGGGGTCAGCTGCTGGACACTGGCCCCGAGGTTCCAGCCCTGCATCTGTCAGCTCAACTTTTCTTCCAGCTGCTGCTGATCCCTGCTTGGTCAGCAGCTCTGGCGGTGGGGAAGAGACTGGACTGATAATTGCTGGCAACGGGGCCATCTCTAGTTAGCGCAGAGTGGGCTCGATTTGTGGTTCCAATTGATTCTACAGCTTGATATGCAGAAAAGGATGCTAGGAGTGAATTTACCTCATTACTGTCCCCACACTTTTGCTGGCAGTATTATTCTTCCCCATGACTATCCCTGAACTGCCTCTGGATGTCGTGGTGCATGGAGGTCGAGCAGGGAAGCCCCCTGCTAGGAGAGACTGAGGATCTGGGGAAAGGGAGACTCAAAGGCCAAGGGAAATGTCGAGTTCAGGCTTCCTTAGAAATCTAACAGGGCTGACATATGGGGCTGAGGGTATAGGCCTTATCAGTTATTGGACAATCAGGGTAAAGTAGGCATTTAACTTGAAGGAGGCCCATTCCATAGTTCATGTGAATCTGAAAAAAGTCACTGAAGACTAGACCAGGAAAATGGCATTTTGGACGTAGCACATGTGATGGGCAAATAGCCATCCTGTTCCCATGCTGCGGTGCAGGGCTATATTATTTTTACCCATACAGGTTTGACAACAGAAGACGTCATTCTCCCATTTCAATAGTTAATACTGAATGTCAACTTGATTGGATTGAAGGATGCAAACTGTTGATCCTGGGTGTGTCTGTGAGGGTGTTGCCAAAGGAGATTAACATTTGAGTCAGTGGTCTGGGAAAGGTAGACCCACCTCCATCTGGGTGGGTTCAATTTAATCAGCTGCCAGCGTGGCCAGAATACAAGCAGGCAGAAGAATGTGGAGAGATTAGACTGGCCTAGCCTCCCCGCCTGCATCTTTCTCCTATGTTGGCTGCTTCCTGCCCTTGAACATCGCACTCCAAGTTCTTCAGTCTTGGGACTCAGACTGCCTTCTTTGCTCCTCAGCTTGCAGATGGCTTAATATGGGACCTCACCTTGTGACTGTGTGAGTTGATACTCCTTAATAAACTTTCCTTCAAATAGACATCTATCCTATTATTTCTGTTCCTCTAGAGAACTTTAATATACCCAGGTAATAGATTTTTTTTTTTTTTAAAGAGGCATAGTAGCAAAGTCTGAGGAGCCCATTTTCCAACCTGTCAAAACAGTGTAGAGTCTCTGGGGTCAAAGGGACACGCCCACGTTTGATGTGGTCAGCAGGCTACCCAGGGTGTGTCCTGCCTGCCTGGTCCATCTCACCTTTGTAGAGCAAGGTAGAGCCCCTGATAGAGGCTTACTGTGCATAGAAGTGAGAAAGTAAAAAGAAAAATATGGCATTTTGGGAGGCTGAGGCAGGCAGATGACTTGAGGTCCGGAGTGTGAGACCAGCCTGGCCAACATGGTGAAACCCTGTCTCTACTAAAAATACAAACATGCTGGTGCCCGCCTGTAATCCCAGCTACTTGGGAGGCTGAGGCAGGAGAATAACTTAAACCAGGAGGTGGAGGTTGCAGTGAGCTGAGACTGTACCACTGCATTCCAGTCTGGACAACAGAGCAAGATCCTGTCTCAAAAAAAAAAAAAGGAAAAGTAAAAGTAAAAGTAAAAGAAAAGTATGATTAGACACTGACAACTAATAGTGCAAGAGAGAAAAGAATCTCATTTGTGAAAGAGACATAACATATTTTGGGTTTAAACGAAATTCAGGACATACCCATCGCAAAGGAAGAAAATGGCTTTACATATTCAGATTTCTTTTTGAAGCTGAAATTTGTAAGTAAGAGAAAGTTAAAAACCATTCAGACAGAATTTGTTGCTGGAACTGCTTTTACATAAACTGACTCTCAGAAGCAGCAAAACTTGTTGCCAAGAAAACCGTAAAATGGTCAAGGAAGCTCTTAGAAATCTGAATGGTTGCAAGTAACTGTGTCCACACAGCTGTGTGTGGACTTAATGGCTTAAAACACACATCTTAAAAATAAGAATTTGTAAAAGGCAAGTAATGAAACATGCTAAAAAATCAACTGAAAGCTTGTTAAAACTTAGAAATTGGGAAGCTTTGTTTTCAATGAAGTCAAGGTTACTTTTTTTTTTTTTTTTTTTGGGAAAGGGTCTCTCTCTGTCACCCAGGCTGTGTTGCAGTGGTACCATTATGGCTTGCTGCAGCTTCAGTCTCCTGAGTTCAATCAATCCTCCCCCCTCAGCCTCCCAAGTAGCTGGGACTACAGGCATGCACCACCAAGCTCAGCTAAGTTATTTTTTGTAGAGATGGGGTCTCATTATGCTGCCCCGGCTGGTCTCCAGCTCCTGGACTCAAGTGATCTTCCACCTCAGCCTCTGAAAGTGCTAGGATTACGAGCATGAGCCACTGCGCCAGGCCTAACAGTTATTTTTTAGCAACATCACAAAGAAAGCTGGATATTTTTTTCCCTAGGATTTGAACACAATCTGAAAAGCTATCACTGTTTCAGAACCTACGACGTTTGGTGTTCTTACAGCTTGTGGCCCCAGGAAGGTGGGGCTGTATTGCCACAATTCTAAGATCCACTTTTTTTGTTTCTTTTTTTTTTTTTGAGACGGAGTTTCACTACTGTTACCCAGACTGGAGTGCAATGGCGTGATCTCGGCTCACCGCAACCTCCGCCTCCTGGATTCAGGCAATTCTCCTGCCTCAGCCTCCTGAGTAGCTGGGATTACAGGCACGCGCCACCATGCCCAGCTAATTTTTTGTATTTTTAGTAGAGACGGGGTTTCACCATGTTGACCAGGATGGTCTCGATCTCTTGACCTCGTGATCCACCCGCCTCGGCCTCCCAAAGTGCTGGGATTACAGGCGTGAGCCACGGCTCCCGGCCTAGATCCACTTTTTTTAAGAAAACATTTTTATATCTCTGAAATCTGGATGTATCTTATAGTTAGTGGCAGGTCCCACTTTCACTGACAACAGTACATAAAATAATGCAGCACCTCTTAGTGGACGTCTCATAGTGAATCAGCAATGCAGGATGGCTCAAGGCTGTGCGTGCTGTGCTTGTGGATGGGATCTTGGCTCAGTGCCGGCGGCCTAGGTCCAACCAAAGGGGTGCTTTTTTCTAATTTGCTCAAAAGAGTCCTTCCCTCTGTCAACCAATCTTGCAACGGGATGCATTTGTAATTGTTCTACTCCAACATTGAAAGGATCATCAATGTCTCCTAGGACTTACTCCTTATTCCACACCTTTGCCACAACTGAAACTGAGATCTTTGCAGAACGTACCCACTCGCAGTTTGAAGTCGTTGAAGGAGTGCTTGTTGATGGCATCCAGCTTCGCTACCAGAGCAAAAGCAAATTCCACCATGGTGCCAATGTGCATGTACTGCCGCTCAGGCTCCTGAGAATGAACAAACACAGGCGGATGGAAGTTAGAGCATCCCAAACTGGAAGCTGTTCTCCTTCGTCTCAAACCTGAGCTTTAGGCTGAGAGGAATGTTGGCAAATTCTAATACTGCAAGGCACTGCAGATATTCTATAAGAATCAAATCCCATCTCAAGGAAGCGCTGTGTGGCCAAGGGGAGACAGTAGGCACTGGAACTCGCTGACTTCCGTGTCTCAGGCCCCCGCAGGCCAAAAGCGTCACGTGGGCTAAGGCTGACCAAGGGGAACCTATATTGTATTAATCCAGAAATCACAAGGGAAGCTGGCCTTGAGGAGGGGCTGGCACTTTCTTCTCCCTTTTCCCCTCCACAGCCGACCTTTGCCCTTCTCTGCTGGGCTCTGGCCTTGGGGGACTGACCTCTAGAGGCTACCTGCATCTTATCCTGGGGCTGCCAGTGGGGATTGCCCAGTGGGAGAATCCATGAAAAAGAGAGCGAAGAGGAGGCTTCGGGTCTCATTCCTCCTCTTCCCTACTCAGTGCACGCTTCCACTGGGGTCAGTCTTCTTCACAGAGGACCAGGGCTGCTGCCCCAGGTGGCAGCTACTCTGTCTGCATCGCAGCTCTCTCTGGTGGCAGCTACTCTCTCTGCACTGCAGCTCTCTCGTTCTAGGAACATCCCGCTCCTTTTGCCCTCTTATGCCTTGAAAGGGGGGATTTTAGGCTGAATTGTGTCCCTCCAAGTTCCTATGTTAATGTCCTAACCCCAGTCTCTCAGGATATGACCATATTTGGAGATAGGGTCTTCAAAGATGTGATTAAGGTAAAACAAGCTTATATGGGTGGGCCCTAATCCAATATGACTGGTGTTCTTTTAGGAAGAGGCAGTTAGGACCCAGTCACCCACCAAGGGAGGGCTGTGAGACAGGACCCAGTCACCTACATGGGGAAGGCCGTGTGAAGACACAAGAAGAAGGAAAGAGGCCAACAGGGGAGAAGAGAGACCTCAGGAGAGACCCACCCCGCTAATGCCTTGATCTTCCGATTGCATCTCCAGAACTGTGAGGCAATACACTTGCATGGTTTAAGACCCCGTCTGCAGTACTTTGTTAGGGCAGCCCTAGCGAAGTAACATGGGGGGGTCACAATTTCTTCATTTACTCATTCTTGAGGGCTGTGTCATCCCACGGGCATGAGGGAATTATGGAGCTGAAGGGGAGAAGTCCTGAAGATTTTCCCACTGCTAGGAAGTGAAAATTTCCATTCAGATTTCCTGTTAATTTCGATTATTCCTGTTACCTATTTATATTTAACATTAATTTGTAGCACTTACTATATTTATATTTTAAATCTCACCTTTTTAAAAGTTTCCATTTTTTGTTACATTATTAGTCTAGGCATAGAATTCATTTAATTCAGGTAAATGTTCTGAAGGTTCCTGCTCTCCCAGTCCTGAACGATTCTGTGCATCAAAATGGTGTGGAGAACAGTTTCTGTTCCAGCCTGCCTGGTGAGCCACTGAGCCTTTAAGGTTTCCTTGAAATGTGGTCCCAGGCCTGCCGGGCATGGCTGCTGGGCCCAATGGACATCGGTGTTAGCACCAAAGCCAGTGCCCTGTGTCTTCTGAAGTCTGCATCCCTCAATGGTTTGTGAGCTCCACCAGGGTAGAGACCTTGCTCTATTAATCTGTGTCTTCACAGCAGAATGACGTCCCTGACAAAGAAGAACTCAATATGTTTATGAATGACTATACTTAGGTTGGCAGTGGGATCACCAAGAGGAAATGGCTGGGGGGAATGAAGACAGGGACTCATTAAGCTTTGGTGTAAGGTCAAAGATGATTGCGGTGCCTTTGGAGAACACAAGCCCAGGATCATGAATGTGCCTACTACAATGGGTGAGGGCTCCAAGGGAAGAAGGGAGAATAGGATAGCAGAGGCTTGGTCTAGGGATATGCCCTCGGCTAGGACATGGGTCGGGGAAGGGGAGCCAGTAAGGCACACTGGAAACCAGCCGAGAGACCAGGAGAGACGGAACATGGGGCTGTTATGGGACTTAGGCAGAGACGTCTAACATGAACGTTGGATCCCAAAGGGAGCTAAATCGGAGATGAAGAAAGGTCTGGGGACAAAGGGGAGGCACCTGGTGACCTGGTGGGAACAAAGCCAACTTTTAGAGACTCAGGAGGGATGGATGAGAAGATAGATGGAGACTGTAGACATAAGCATCTATTCAAGGTGACAGCCAGGTGGAGAAAACCAAGGTGGCAGCTAAAGGGGAGAGGAAAACCAAGAAGCGGTTATTCATCTGCTCTACAGTGCTTAATAAGGAGCATGCAGGGGTATTGTGCTAACGCAGGGTTTCTCAGCCTTGGCACCATGGACATTTGAGCTGGGTTGAACTGGGACGAACTGGGTTATGCTGTCTTCTGCAGGCCGTCCTGCACATCACGGTGTGTTTAACACCATCCCCAGCCTCTACCTACTGGATGTCAGTGGCATCCTTCACCTCTCATTGTGACAACCAGAAATGTCTCCATTGACAATGTCAATGCTCCCGGCGGGGCGGCGGGGGGCGGAGATTAAAATTGCTCCCATTTGAGAATCACTGCACTAAATAGTATAAATGTGAAAGGAGAAGAAGAATTAAATCTCTGGGCAAAAGGGAAAGACATCTTCCTATCCTCAGGTGAATTACATCATTCTAGAAGAAGGCAAAGGAAATAGAACTACTGCAGTAAATTCTCAACTTAAGAGTCGTGGAAGAAAAGCCACATGACTACAAAACTGGAACTACGAAATTGACTGTCAGCTAACTTTGGTGGAATTTCAGGATATCATTTCATAAGAACAGCTAGTCTTTTCTGTGATAGCTCACTAGTATTTTTTGTCTCCCGACTTATGGGGAAAACCTGACTTGGAGGCTTGTGCAGTCAGCTGGAAAACATCTTGCTCCTTAATAGGAAGCACAAGCTGTTAAATCAACAAGCAAAATCTTGTGTAGTAGAAATGACAACTGTCCAAGTAAGGAGGACATATTTGCCACGGGAGCAATGATTTTGCTTTTTACCAAATCATGGTGCAGCAAAGAAGCTCTACTCCTTGATAAATTATTGCCCAATCTGTTTTCACAACATTGGTTTAAACTGAAGGTTTAAAGTGACCTCAGCAATGAAAGAAGAGATTGAGTTCTGGGAATGAAGTTTAATTCAACGTCAGTAACTCATCTGGCCTTAGCAAACCCTAGAAAAAATTCTAGGACAAATGTTCAGTCCCTAGAAGGACTCAATTCATTTCAACAAGTCTTTATACGTGTGCTCTTGATAAATATCTGATGGCAGTGTGAAGCAGTTATTTCTCCCATGATCCAAATAATTTCTGTTGTATATCCCCAGATACTGAATGGACTTCCAGCTAAACACGGAGACTACCCACTGAGTTCCCTGAAACACAGTTTTATAAACTGGTTGTTTTGGAAGTATCACTAGCAAGGAACATTGCTTAAAGTAGTTGCATCCAAAATGATTTTATAACCCAAGTGTCTGTTTGGTAATAATAGAGGTAATTTTTTAGGCTAAAATAAACATAACCTTCCTCTTCTGTTCTCTCTTCTCCCTCTTCCTTCCATAAATATTCACTGAGCATCTGTTATGTGCCTGGCACTGTGTTCTATGCTGGAAAACTTCTGGTGTTCAAGTTCCCCTGTGTCTGATTTGGAAGGGAACTGAGGATTGTTATATAGGGAGCATTTTGTTCTCCTGCCTGGGGCTCCTAGGAGATCTGATCAGACTTCTCAGCTTTTATGTTCAGCCTTCTCCCAGTTAAGCATAAAAGCTGCGTACTGTGATAATCAGCTTACCTGGGAGAGTGTTGCCAATGGATACTGACTTCCTCAGGCAAAAATGGGTTCAGCTCCAGTTTCTCCACACAATTAGCTATGTGGCCTTGGCAGAGTCATTTAACTTCTCTGGGCCTCAGTTTTCCTCACCTGTGTAATGGGACAATAACTCCCTACCTTTTTTTTTTTTTTTTTTTTTTTTTTTTTTTGAGATAGAGTCTTGCTCTGTTGCCCAGTCTGGAGTGCAGTGGCACTATCTCAGCTCACTGCAACCTCCGTCTCCTGGGTTCAAGCCATTCTCCTGCCTCAGCCTCCCGAGTAGCTGGAACTACAGGTATGCTCCCACCACACCAAGCTAATTTTTTGTATTTTTAGTAGAGACAGGGTTTCTCCATGTTGGCCAGGCTGGTCTCACACTCCTGAGCTCAGGTGGTCCACCTGCCTTGGCCTCCCAAAGTGCTGGGATAACAGGTGTGAGGCACTAGCCAACTCTCTACCTCACTGGGTTTCAGTTAAGATTGAATGAATGGATATAAGCAATACATTCAGCCTGCGTCCCTGGGACTTGGGACTTACTTTCCTCCATGATAGTGTAGAGATGTATGTCACTCTGCCTGACATGAAAGCCATCTGGGAGGGAGATCTCAGTATTACTTTACGGCTAAGTGTGGTACTTTTCTGTCTTATGTATGCTTTAACAATGACTTAGGTGCCTGACCTTTTAAGCGTCTTTGAGATTCTCCTTATGTATAGTGAAGAGGGACAGTTCATTTTCTTTCAGTTTTGAGTTTCATGTTAACAGCATGAAAGCAGTAAGATATTACTCTCTTTTGATGACACATCATGACAGCTTTGGTGTTTGCACAAAAATACACAGACGGGATTTTGCTTTTCATTTCCACAAACACCTAAACTATTTTTGATTCTTACCAGTGAAGGTAACTGGGGTTATTGTTTCAATGGACTCCTTAGTACTATGACACTGGCAGGGAAGGTCTCTGAATGACTCCTGGTTTCCTCTCTGGCCCATTTGGCAGGATCCGTTTAATCTTCCCAGATTCTCTGTGCCCACCTCACACAGGAATTGCTGTTTGTACTCCCTGTTCACTCCCAGACTGTAAAACTCTGAGATAAGTCACCAGCATGTACCTGGAACTTGGCTCAGTCAGTACAGAAAACG